GAGAGAGAGAGAGAAGAGGGAGAGAGGAAGAGGGGGAGAGAGAGAGAGAGAGAGAGAGAGAGAGAGAGAGAGACTGGGTGAGTGGGTGAGTGAGTGAGTGAGTGACAGAGTGAGTGAGTGAATGAGTGAGTGAGAAAATGAATGAATGAATGAATGTATGAATGATTGATTGAATGAACGACAGAGTGATTTGACAAAAACAAACCAAACCTGTGAGAGAAGAAAGCTTGACGTAAATCAATAAGCTGTTGGTCGCCTCCTTCCTCACCAACTTCTGCTGTGACGTCATACTGCGCAGCGCCATCATGGCTCGAAAGAATACCCCCAAATTGATGACACAAGCCAAGACGATGGGCAGGACACCCGCCAACAGAAGACTGAGCTTGTTAGACAGATAACAGATCCCAGCTCCGTAGCCGATCCAGTCTGTCGGGGCGTCACACGTCACGAAACGGTTACCGTCACCATCACTCCTGATATCGGTGCTGTTGTTGTCGTCGTTGTCTTTACTTGCCTGGTAGATGCTGTTGCACGTTATCGTCAACGAAACGATGACGGCAGGGATGAGAAAACTGATGAGAACGTAGACAAGGAATCTGGATTTTGTTTCGTGTTCGGCGACCTTGTGTTCTAGCAGCTTTGTGAACACGTAGTACATGTGGGCGGTGCATATGACCATCCAGGTGAACGCTGATAGGAGGAAGAAGTGTGTGGCCACGCCTACTACTTCGCAGAGAACTGTGACGTCATCGAGGAAGCCTCCAATCAGAAACAGAATAATAGCAGCCAATAGCGTGCTAGAGAAGCCCATAGTGGCTTTGCCAGGTAGCGTTCTCAGCGAGGCGAAGAGTCCGTACGTGAGTAGGGTTAGGCTTAGGGTTAGAATAGAAAGACCCAGACAGACGTAGGAAGTTACGACTAAGCCTACGCCGAATAGATCTATACTCGTAACGTTGTTCGTCGTCTTCACAGTGGGGAGGTACTTCAGAAAGGCGTCCGCGCATAAATAAACAACGACAGACGTTTCCCCGCGCTCTTCGCTCATGTAAAAGTCTTGCAGAGAAAAGGTCTCCCCACTTCCGGTGTGACGTAATTCGTACGTCGTCGTCGTCTGCCCGCCTTTCTCGTCAGCTGAAGAGTTGACGGCGATCAACTCGACCTCTGCACTCTCTGACAGGTTAAAGGTCAAACGAGGACACTGGAGCGCTCTCTTCACTAGAATAAACGCCATCCCTTCCTTCTCGTCATCATCGTCACCAGTATTATCATCAGAAGTCGTCTCGTCGTTAAAGCTGAGGTCAAAACGATTCCTTGCGGGAAAATTACGAGAATTAGGAGAATAAGGAGAATTATGATAATAATAATAATGTGTCGGTTCTACGTTAGGCGATGCAGGGAGTGGTGAGACCCCGTCTTTTACAGGGCGGTATGTGACGTCATTAGGTGGAGCCAGATTCTTGAGGAGTTGACCAGCCGGAGGGATGTTGTAGCTTGACCACAGGTCAAGCGGCACTCCATTCACGTTTATGGTCCATGTGCGGTTGTCCGTTATGGCCAACAGTTTGGACTCGAAGTCTTGCACGACCACGGAATGTTGCAGAAGGAGTTTGGCGTAGAATGACACGGAGAAGGTGGAGGTTTTTTTGGTGGCGGTGGTGGTGGTAGTGGTGCTGTTGTTGTTGTTGTTGGTGGTGGTGGTGGTGGTGGTGGTAGTGGTGGTTTCTGAGAAGTTGTGAGATTTGCCGTAGGTGAGGAGGGTGTCGCTGGAGAAATCTCGGAAGGTTTTGTTGAAGAGGAGGAACAAGAAGTGGCCCTTCACTTGTTGCGATATCTGAAATGGGGATGGAGAGGGGGAGTGG